TAGGGGAAAAAAATACTTTAATATAAAAGTCAATCATCTTTTTTAACTGTAACTGGCTTTATGACAAAAAAATGTTGAATTAAAGTTTAAACCATCAAAATATTTCGTTTTAAAGAAATGCAAAATGACAGCTTTGGAGATCAAAATGAATGAACAGATCTTTATTATAAAATAATACGACAACCATGGAACATGTGATATTTTCTACATGCATGCCAGTGCAGTCTGGCCAGGCAGTGTTCTCAATTTTTATATCAGATATTGAAATCCCTTACACTTCAAATGGACTCTTTTAAAATTGAAAGTGAACAAATCTATTATAAAAATTCAGCCTGTAAATAATTTCTTTGCTGACTATTTTATTATCTGGGTGACCTGAATCCACTATTGAGCTAGCCCAGTATGTTTAAGTCTATTATATAAATTCAGCAAAAGTGAAGTGTAAGTTGTAGATAAGTCTTTTAATGCACAATAAATGAAATACAATTTAAGGATAGCTAATATATTAGATTAATAGTAATGAGGTGACAATTATACCACTCCCAACTCCACTTCATACTCAACAACCAATACAATACAAATGAAATTACCTTATACTATAAAGCACTCTATTTGTCTTGGGAAAATTCTCTACCCCCCACCCCCCACCCCTTCAACAGAAATTTATTGAAATCTATGAAAGTCTTACTGAATATGTCTATTTTGAATGAGAGAATGTACATATTAAAATATGTACTAGTCAACTTGCAGGGGTCGTCAACTTTGTATGAAAAGCTGACCCTACTATACGAAACAATGGAATCCTTGTCCTATTGACACATTTTTAGTTATTTATTTTCTTCAAATTCATTTAATGCTTACACTGCAAACTTTGAATAATTTCAATTTATTTCCGAACATGGCAATATGGCAGCTAAAAGGTTTTCATTCTATCAAACTTACTGAACTGATGACAGTGCTGGCTAGCTTGACTTTAAACTAGTGTCCTTGTCCTTTGCATATACATAAGTTAATGTCACTGCTGACATTCATACAGTTCTTGTTCTACAAATCAATGCAGATTCTTACTGTTAGAAATTACTGACGTTACACTAAAGTATTCAGCCACATTTATAGTAGATGCTACCCCAGTTATTTCCTCTCTCTCAAAGGTATAATGAAGCTAATATCAGAGAAAAATGATTCTCCTACATTAAGTATAAATTAATCAATCATAACAGATATCAAACCTTGGTCTACTTTAACTATTTACATTTGAGCCGCGTCACGACAAAACCAACATAATGGGTTTGTGACCAGCTTGGATCCAGACCAGCCTGCGCATCCGTGCAGTCTGATCAGGATCCATGCTGTTCGCCATCAGTTTCTCTACTTGTAATAGAGTTGGTAAGCGAACAGCATGGATCCTGATCAGACTGCGCGGATGCGCAGGCTGGTCTGGATCCATGCTGGTCGCAAACGCATAACGTTTTGTCATGACGCGGCTCATTTATTATATTGGGTAGTAACTTGTATAGAAAAAAGAAATAGGACCAATTTCGCACAAAAACCCTAAATAATCAATTTGTCCGATATAGAACAGTCCATTGATGCAGTATTTTCTGTTACTGGCTATGATGTCACTTGTTTTCAATGTGATATAATCATTATATATATCTGTATTTTACGCATGTTTAATAAGGACAATCAAACCAGTCTTTGATATACATGTGTAAATTCTGCCTTTTAAAATAATAAAATATAAAATTATTAAAGGAACTCCACTTAGGTCCAAATGCCCAAAAACATAAAATTGGAACTTCTTGAATAGATCAGCTGGGGCACTTAAAACAGAAATATATGCAAAAAATAATTGACAAATATACTCTGAAATAAAATGAAAATCATATTTTTGTAGTATAATTTTTTTTATACTACTCTTAGCACGATTTGAATGAAAATGATTGCAACACTTTTCACTTTTGGGCGTAAATTATCTGAATTTTTGCACACATCAAATGGAACATTACCGGTAATCTAGAAAAATAATTTTCAGTCCTGGCATGTCAAAAAGGCTTAGTGCAGTTTATAATGGGCATTTTAGGTGACGCGATAGCTCAGTTGGTTAGACCACTGACTGCCACTCCTGAGGTTCCGGGTTCGATCCTGGGATTTTTCAGAAACACTTTCAGTGTTTCCCACCTACCTAGAGGCTTACTGGTACAAAACCCAATACTCCTTGCATGTATTAGTGCTATACACTGGGCATGTAAAAGAACCAAGGGATCTATTCAATAAGAGCTAGTGACAGGTTCCCGGACTCCCTTGTATCTAATAGCTGTCTTGTGAGGTAAGGACCCTACTGGAAATAAGTGCTTGCACTTTAGTTGGTTATCCTTGATCGCCCGGTCTAAAGAAAATCAATCAATCATTTTACATTATGCGGAAACAAAGTCTAGGAAGCTAGAAACACAGCCATTTCCACAAGCACAAATAAATGGGCATTTTACATTCTGCTGAAACAAAGTCTAGGAAGTTAGAAACACAGCCATTTCCACAAGCACGAATTAATGGGCATTTTACATTATGCTGAAACAAAGTCTAGGAAGTTAGAAAACAGCCATTTCCACAAGCACAAATAAATGGGCATTTTACATTCTGCTGAAACAAAGTCTAGGAAGTTAGAAACACAGCCATTTCCACAAGCACAAATTAATGGGCATTTTACATTCTGCTGAAACAAAGTCTAGGAAGTTAGAATCACAGCCATTTCCACAAGCACGAATTAATGGGCATTTTACATTATGCGGAAACAAAGTCTAGGAAGTTAGAAACACAGCCATTTCCAAAAGCACGAATTAATGGGCATTTTACATTATGCGGAAACAAAGTCTAGGAAGTTAGAATCACAGCCATTTCCACAAGCACAAATAAATGGGCATTTTACATTATGCGGAAACAAAGTCTAGGAAGTTAGAATCACAGCCATTTCCACAAGCACGAATTAATGGGCATTTTACATTATGCGGAAACAAAGTCTAGGAAGTTAGAATCACAGTCATTTCCACAAGCACGAATTAATGGGCATTTTACATTCTGCTGAAACAAAGTCTAGGAAGTTAGAATCACAGCCATTTCGACAAGCACAAATAAATGGGCATTTTACATTATGCGGAAACAAAGTCTAGGAAGCTAGAAACACAGCCATTTCGACAAGCACAAATAAATGGGCATTTTACATTCTGCTGAAACAAAGTCTAGGAAGTTAGAATCACAGTCATTTCCACAAGCACAAATAAATGGGCATTTTACATTATGCGGAAACAAAGTCTAGGAAGTTAGAATCACAGCCATTTCCACAAGCACGAATTAATGGGCATTTTACATTCTGCTGAAACAAAGTCTAGGAAGTTAGAATCACAGCCATTTCCACAAGCACAAATTCTTTTGCAGCACTGAAGCAAACTTTTTTCATGACTAAATGTCAATACATGTAAGCATATCAAATAAAATGTTGCTATAGTCATTTTTGGGACTAAAATCATTTTTATAATACACATATATAAACATATATTATACATGTATATAGTGTACGTACAGAAATTAGATGGAACTATCCAGTAAATTAACTTATTAAAATGAGGTCATGTTAAAAACATATGACATGACAATGAATGTTAAGATCTTATATTTCATATTGATTCAAAAGAATGTTTAGTATGCTTTGTTTATGTATACAGTTGTGAGAGGAAGCTCGACAAAATATATTTATTATATTGTACTGTACTTGTAATTTCTTCTCTCATCTTGAGAGGTATCAACCTATCAGCCTGAGACTGGTTACCGTTTTGGTTAAAGGAATGCTGGTACCATTCTATTTGGCTTTGACAAGTGCACTGTATGCCAGACAAGTGCACTGTATGCCAGACAAGTGCACTGTATGCCAGACAAGTGCACTGTATGCCAGACAAGTGCACTGTATGCCAGACAAGTGCACTGTATGCCAGACAATACTAGGGATCAAACTAGGGTTCCACACACAGAAGAAATGGCTTAATGCTCTACTATTTTCTTTTTGTGACAGAAAATTTATCTTTTATACTGCATTCATAAACTTTCTTATCATGATAATCTTATTCTGATCACTTTAACCTATTAAATCATGTTTCCTTATTGATATACATGTACTTAGGTTAAAACCAGTTTAGCAGTACCTCAGTGATGTCATGGCTTTAAGTTATCTAAAGTAACTTCACTACCAAAATCATTTGCATAGAGTGAAGATATTTCTGGTAAAAAATAGCATATAAAATTCAAAAACGGTACACTTAAGCTTTTTTTGTTGTTGTTTCTTTTCATATTTTTATGGTATTAATCTTACGGTCATATCTGGAAAGTCTTAAGAGTGTTTGTGGTATTTAAGTGCATATGTATGTATGACATAAGAAAATACAATAAAACTTTCCTTACTGAAGTATTGAACTGTTTTTTCTTAGTAGGTATAGAGATGTTTTTATGACACTGTCTTGTAAGCTTTAACAGAAATTAAATTTTAACATCATTCACAATAGTGTATGACAACTGGCATCCATTAAACTTTTTTTGTTTTGTTTTGGGTTTTACGTCACATCGACACAGTATAGGTCATATCGCAACGTTCCAGCTTTACTGGTGGAGGAAGACCTCAGGTGCCCTTCCGTGCATTATTTCAGGCACGAACGGGCACCTGAGTAGAACCACCGACGTTCCGTAAGCTAGCTGGATAGCTTCCTCACATGAAAGAATCCAAAGTCCCTGTCGGGATTCGAACCCACAGCGGTGAGGGGCAAGTGGTTTGAAGTCAACGACCTTAACCACTCGGCCACGGACGCCCCAAAACTAAACATATAACATCAAAACTTTATGTAGAAGTAAATAAACTTCATATACTTTACTTAACATATTTAATTGCATGAATGTGCCAATGATTTTCAAAATTTAAGATAATTTTGAATACATATACTATAAATATACAAATATACCTATATCCATTGACTGCAGCATGGTGTAAGGCGGAATAACCATTCTTGTCTGTATAATTCACATTCACTGACTTCAGAAAACTGAAAATAATATTAATAATCACTGAATTTTGTAAATTATGAATATTTATTTAGTCTCTTTTTTTTTTCTTTTTTTTATACTCGACCTTAATAGCTGATTTACTGCTTTCTACTTTTTTGGTTTTTTAACTTTTACATATGAAAACAAATACGGTATCAACAAGGAAGGGTAGCATTCAATAAGCACATCCCCAAATGAGACCCTTAGCCACAGAGTTTAAACTCCCGGTTTTTCAGACGTTTAATGTAATACTAAGCTGATTCATCTTCAAAATTAATGTTCTTCACAAACTTTTTATGTAAATGGGTCAATCTAAAAATAAATTTAATCTAACAAAATATTAATTTTATGCCAACCTATTGCTGAAGACGATAAATATAGATTTTGCATAACTGCATGACATATAACGCAAACATTTCGGAGGAATTGAAACTTTAACAAATTCTGAATTGAAATGCCTGTTTGGCTTACAATCTTTGGAATATTGCTGAATTATACAGGAGAGATAAAGACCGGCTCAGGCTTTGGCTTGCCCTGCTATAGACTACATGACTTTGTTTATATAAACTATTTTTGAAAGGAAATCAAATAAAAATCAATTAAAACATATATAGATTTCTACAACTATCAATGAAATTTTCAGTGTACCATCCTTTTCTTCGCCAAACAGAGCATAGCAAATCAAATCACTGTAAGGAGTTTGGAGTTTTTGCTTACTGTACAAAATACCTGTATTTACTTATTTACGAAGTGCAAGAAAGATCTGGTTTATTACATGTATACTGAACATGTTATGCTTGATCTTAAATTATTAAGGAAGTGGCTAGCTGTACAGGCCTGTATCTTCTAGCTGTGCGCGAGTCACGTACGGCTAGCCAGGACACACTGAATTGTCTAGCCGTACGGCACTTTTCAAAATTATATGAAAGTCAAAAATGCATAATGTTATTTTATGTCTTTAAGCGAGGATTTTAATCTTCTTTGTTTTATTTCTTTGTATATATAGATGAATCGCCATGTTGGCTACAGTAAAGAAAGTACGGGTATCGATCTTTGTCATCTTCAGAAGGCGAGAAAAAAAAGAGCGTTTAGTTGCAGTTGATGAACATCAGTTGAAATTATTTACATAATTATCATAATAATCCTTTTTTGTTTCAAAAAGTTTAATTTTCTACACCTTTAAAATGAAAATATATTGTTGGACTCTAATAATTGTGTCAATATTAACTGACAGTAAAAGTTTGTCCACAAGTAAGGAAAGATTGCATGTTCCGTGAAACACATTTTTAATTTAGGCTTATTGATTCTGATTGATTTTATGTTAGATATTTATTTATCTAAAAATAATTAAAATTAAACATATATCATAAACACACGATGCCAGGGTTCTAGTGAGAATGCATGTATTTTTGAAATCGACGAAAACCAGCTTTTTTGGGCTTGTATATAGAGGATATTGAATGAGTGTAGGTTTAATACTAAATTTATTGAACGAGTTGAATAAAATCATATTATGCGAGCCTCTGGCGAGCATAATATTGTTTTATTGAACGAGTTCAATAAATTTAGTATTGAATCTACACGAATATAATATTCTATTTATCACATATATAAAATAAGAACGGTAAACTGTTAACAAGAGTCATTTTTCTTTGACGCGCCTACAGTGTAGCGCTAACATTAGCGCTTTAACGCTATGTTTATAGTGCAAATGACGTGACGTCAAAGTGTTATTACACTAGTGTAATATCGTCTAGTGTAATATCGTTTTTATTAAATGGCTTTATTACACTCCTGCGCCGCGGTTTATGTGATAAGATTATTTATTCCATGTGAATGATTTAATAATTCATCTTTTATACAAGTCAAATAAGACAACAAATCATAACTAATGTACTTTGAACAGTTATGTGTCATGTAACTTTGACAACTTTTATCAAGATGACAACGCTTGTATTTCCATCGTATTCTTTTTTCACAGATCTTCAATATTAATCTTTTTTATTATTATATAACAGTGATTTTTCATAAATCTTTTGCTTCTTATTTAATACGGATTTCAATAATCATTATAAAAATCGTTTAAATTGTTTGTATTTAATAAAATAATTCAAGGTATTTTTTAAATTTTGAAATATTGGTGGGGAAAAACAGACCGATTCCGGTAATTCCCTGATAGCCCTGGCACTGCATATATGCAATATGGTAGTAATTCGCCGACCTTAGATCTCTAGTTTATTATTTAATATTTATTAGGATTCTTCATTTTCTGAAATCTTTTTAGATATCAATGATATTGTTTGCATTTTTTTCTTGCAAAGTCCATAAATTACAATAATACAGGCCGATTCCGGTAATCATTCGCCTATTTCGGCAGTATGACAGTATATGTAACTCGCCGATCTTCGATCTCTTGCTTTATTAACCAAAGGCGAATTGAAATTTACAAAATAAAAGAAAGAAAAACCAAAACTTTTTGAATATCATTCATAATATTTATATTTTATAACACAAATATTAACAATGTAACAGAAACGTTAAAAAGTTCAATAGACTAAATTATACGTCAATTCCGGTAATCCTTCGCCGATTCTGACAGTATGGCAGTAACTCGCCAATATTAAATATCTTGTTTAATTAATAAAAAGTGATTATTGACAATAATCTGATTACATATCATTGCTATTGTTTATATTTAATCAAGGGTGCAAAAATTTTGTTAAGCAAATTACAGGCTGATTTCTGTAATCCTTCGCCGATTCCGGTAGTTTGCCCGTTTTCGCTAATCATATATATATTTGTTTATTATTATTATTAAAAAGCGATTTTTCACAATCTCTAGACAGATTAATGATAATATTTAGGTTTTATAAAAACATGCAAAAGGAACATTAAAAGTTGCATAAACAACGAAATAACAGGCCGATTCCGGTCACGGGCAGTAGCTAGCATATATTAGATCTCTTGTTAAATTAATCAAAAGCGATTTTATTTATAAAAATCTTTTCATAAATCATTGATATTGTTTATATTTTATAAAATTGTAAGAATTGCCATACAGCTAGACAATACAGTGCATCCTGGCTAGGTGAGTCACGTATGGCTAGAACTTTTGGCTAGCCACTTCCAATTATTAAAGCTTTCTGCGCCATAGGTAGCACCTAATTTCCTATTAATAAGACTTAAAAGTTTCATAACAAGGTTAATCATTTTAAGTGGAATGGTCAGTGACGCCAAGCATTATCAATTAAAACTAACCTATCTATCTATAGTATATAATTTTTAGTAGCGACCTCGAAGGGCCTGCTCAAAAAGTGAGCTTTACGGTAAGGCGAGTACCTGTTAAGTGATGGTTTTAAAAACTTTCGTCCAAAGTTTGGAACTTTGCGAATTACAAGATAACAATAAAAACCAAGGAATTCTGATTGAAAACAGATGCGTAGACTGGTCATCCGCGCACTTCTATGGGAACCATAATGGGATAGGGAACCAGAATAAACGGAAGCAGTGTATAAAATACCGAATGACAGTTTTAAAACGAAAAATGTAAAATGAAAATTAAACAATTACTTTAAACCACAGGGGGAAGACGCTGTGATCTGACATTATCCCGGGCCCCCTCCCCCCGAAGGCCCTGCTACAACCCATAAAAAATATCAATGCAAGTTGATTTGCACAATAAAAATTCATAAAAACAATATTCTGACACGTTTCGACGATTTTCATTATACCCCTATACTATAAGTTATATAGTATAGGGGTATAATGAAAATCGTCGAAACGTGTCAGAATATTGTTTTTATGAATTTTTATTGTGCAAATCAACTTGCATTGATATTTTTTATGGGTTGTAGCAGGGCCTTCGGGGGGAGGGGGCCCGGGATAATGTCAGATCACAGCGTCTTCCCCCTGTGCTTTAAACTTTTTCACGCTGAAAGGAAATCAAGCTCGCTTTGAGGCTTTGCCTTTTTCATATTTTTAATATGAAACTTTGTGAAATCAAATAATCTGGTTGATTCTAAAAACTTTGTTAAAATAACATTACATTTAACTATGTCAAACTGCAATTAGGATTTGGGCGTAAAAAGGTACTTAAGTTAAAAGTTACAAGAACGACTCACAAATGTGATTTTTGTATATTCTGGTTACCTGCTCAATTTAACAAGCGCTGCTCCAACATGATGAGATTTTCTTCCTTTACCACTTGAAAGAATTTTCTCTACAGTTTGCAAGTTACCAGTTCGTGCTGCTTCGAGTAACTCCACTTCCTTGCCCATAACTTTTTCAATTCTAGAACTCAGAAATGACATTTTTCATGGATGTCACGACAAAATTAGATTACTTCCTTGTTTTCCTGTCAGCATCCATTTTTCATCTTCGTCCATTAGTGACGACTCTTTTGATTGGTTTTCAGTGTTCATTTAATCCAATCAGCAAGACTTTTACTCTCTACTAAATATGATGCCAGAAGCAATCCGATTTTAGTGTATTGGACATTAGAGCATTTACGATTGGTCAAGTATAATAACCTACCCTATTTTCAGCAAATGAAAGCTCAGTTCACATTTAATCATGTGACCTTTAACGAATTTATATATAGTAATTTGATGTAAACAATAACACATTGAGAACGAAAACGTCAGACGTCGTGGATTAATCAGCTGTTCTATTGTGAAGTTATTCGATAAAACAATAGCTTGATTAGTGATTTAAACTAAACTGAAGGATGACAAAACCTACAACTGTTGTAAGTATTGCTTAATTTTAAGTTCCGTTGCAGGAAAAGGTTATTATTTCGTGAAACATTTTTCGTTTATCGCGCAACATGATCAACATAATGCGTTTCAACTTTAACATTTACTTTTTTTTGCATTTTGCCAAATGATTCTGAAATCCCTTCTTTAATTATTAGAACCTATTGAATATGAAAATATTTACTGACTATATTATGCTACGCAGTTAATGTTATTCTCAAGACAAAGAATTTAGAGTAACATATTGTTGGTTGACCTTCATGACCTATATTTGCTTGTAAATAACAAAGAAAGGTAGAAATGTCAATATAGTTTGTGTCAGCAGGAGTTCATATTTTTTATGGTGTATGTCGGTTATTGAGATCATGTGCAGTTTTGTGCACTGTATTAATTTAGATATTTATCATTTGTTTTCATGCAATGAATTAATTATTTTACATATTGAGTCTGATCGATCAGGATCCATGCTGTTCGCTATCAGTTTCTCTATTTGTAATAGAGTTGGTAAGCTACAATGTAAGAGAATGGATTCTGATCAGACTGCGCGGATGCGCAGGCTGGTCTGGATTCATGCTGGTCGCAAACCCATTATGTTGGCTTTGTCGTGACGCGGCTCATATATAGATCTAGCTGTATAGTAGTCTACAGAAATTGATTCCCAAACACTCACCCTGTCAAAAGTATAATAATTTATGAATAAAAAACCCTGAAAAAGAGCTTATATCACTTGTAATTCTATTTATCAGATTATAACTGAAATTATTAAAGATCTATAGATCTATATGTTAATTGTAATCTATATTAATTTTTCAAATTTTCTTTATATTTTAAAATAATTTTTGTTCAATTGTCATAAAATTTAGCTGATTATATAGAACAAAAAATTTGTAAATGGCATTTATATAACAACAGTGGAACAATATACTTAATTAAGGTCTTTGTTCAAGTTTCTTGGTCCCTAAAGCTGTTGGCATAGTGTTGCTTTTAACCCTTAACCAGTTTGAACCAAAAGTGTTTCACCTTTAAATGTCCAACTGTAAATTTTCATCTTGATATCACTTAAATTGATAATGGACAGTCCAAAAAACGGAAGTCATCCAAATTATTTAAGAAATTCAGATTATGGTTTAATAAAGCTGCAAATCAGTGTGACTTACTATCTGTCTCCATTAAAAATTAAGTAAGATTTTCACCAGGAAAGAATGTCGCAGTTGTCTCATAATCTGCAAAATTAGGACACATATACATGTATATGGTATAAACATGTATATGTCCCTATAGTATAGTGCTTAATAATCCCCCGCCGAAAAGGCGGCGGGGATATAGAAATAGTCTCCGTCCGTCCTTCCGTCCGACATTTTTGTCCGGAGCATATCTCAAAAAGTGTTTGAGGTATCAACTTGAAACTTTATACGTGGATAGACCTCATTGAGGAGGAGTGCAGTGCACAAGAATGATAACTCTACCCTGCATAATTTTTGAGTTATTGCCATTTGTTATTTTTCAAAATTAATTTTTGTCCAGAGCATAACTCAAAAAGCTTTTGAGATATCAACATGAAACTTCATAGGTGCATAGATCTCACTCAGGAGGTGTACAGTGCACAAGAATGATAACTCTACCTTTCATAATTTTTGAGTTATTGCCCTTTGTTATTTTTCATACTTAATTTTTCACCTGAGTGGAGCATAACTCAAAAGTGTTTGAGATGTCAACATGAAATGTCATAGGTGGATAGATCTTATTGAGGAGGATTCGCTGTATAATTTTTTAGTTATTGCCCTTTGTTCTTTCTATACTATTTTGTCCGGAGCATATCTCAAAAAGTATTTGAGGTATCAACTTGAAACTTCATAGGTGGATGGATCTTATTGAGGAGGAGTGCAGTGCACAAGAATGATAACTCTGCCCTGCATAATTTTTTAGTTATTGCCCTTTGTTCTTTCTATACTATTTTGTCCGGAGCATATCTCAAAAAGTATTTGATGTATCAACTTGAAACTTCATAGGTGGATGGATCTCATTGAGGAGGAGTGCAGTGCACAAGAATGATAACTCTGCCCTGCATAATTTTTGAGTTATTGCCCTTTGTTATTTTTCAATATTAATTTTTGTCCAGAGCATAACTCAAAAAGCCTTTGAGATATCAACATGAAACTTCGTAGGTGCATAGATCTTACTCAGGAGGTGTGCAGTGCACAAGAATGATAACTCTACCTTTCATAATTTTTGAGTTATTGCCCTTTGTTATTTTTCATACTTAAGTTTTCACCTGAGTGGAGCATTACTCAAAAGTGTTTGAGATGTCAACATGAAATGTCATAGGTGGATAGATCTTATTTGCACAAGAATGAAAACTTTTCCCTATATAATTTTGTTTGAGTTTATTGCCCTTTGTTCTTTTTCATACTATTTTGTCGGGAGCTTATCTCAAAAAGTATTTGAGGTATCAACTTGAAACTTAATAGGTGGATGGATCTCATTGAGGAGGAGTGCAGTGCACAAGAATGATAACTCTACCCTGCATAATTTTGAGTTATTGCCCTTTGTTATTTTATAAAATTAATTTTTGTCCAGAGCTTTACTCAAAAGGCCTTTGAGATATCAACATGAAACTTCATAGGTGCATAGATCTCACTCAGGAGGTGTGCAGTGCACAATAATGATAACCCTACCTTTCATAATTTTTGAGTTATTGCCCTTTGTTATTTTTATACTTAATTTTTCACCTGAGTGGAGCATAACTCAAAAGTGTTTGAGATGTCAACATGAAATGTCATAGGTGGATAGATCTTATTGAGGAGGAATGCTGTGCGCAAGAATGATAACTCTTCCCTGTATAATTTTTTTTGAGTTTATTGCCCTTTGTTCTTTTTCATACTATTTTGTCTGGAGCTTATCTCAAAAAGTATTTGAGGTATCAACTTGAAACCTCATAGGTGGATAGATTTTACTGAGGAGGGGTGCAGCACACAAGAATAATAACCTACCCTGTATTATTTTTCAGTTATTGCCCTTTGTTATTTTCAGCCATCAGTATTCACATAGGTTTCAAATCTGTAATCACTTCAGCCATTAGTTCACGGGGGAGGAAGTGTTACACGAAGGATGGAGTTCTTATGATAACTTGTTCAGGAGTTCTTGTGATAACTGTCACGGAGTTCGTCGGAAAACATCTGTATATACTACAAAAACACTCGTTAAAAATGGTTATTTTCATCGTTCAAAAATGAGTTTTAGGTGCTAAATTAAACTTTAATGATTAAGCTTGTCTTACATCTTGTATTATGTGTCAAAGCCTAATTCACAGGCCATTTTTAATCGCCTCTTGCTTCAAATCTGGTAGTTTTCAGTAAAATTTCGAAATAACTTGCCAATTCACAAGTTTTGACCTATTTATTTCTGGTCTTCATCCTTACCATACATAATTACCTAATTATAATGCAAAATTGCAATCATAAAGCACCGGCTAACAGATTTATAGCCGATTTTTCAAATGTCCCGGAGTTCCTGTGATAACTCTGAAGATGTCACAGAGTTCTTATGATAACTTTTGTTATTGCCAGTGTGCTTCTTGCGCTAAAACACAGCATGTTTTAGCGTTTTCTGTACGAAATCTGCTGTGGTCATAGTATTATTTTTACAATAGGTTTATCTCTTAGATTTGGTTCGCTAAATTGCTAATCATGGTCATGCAACTACATAGTTAGGTGAAGAAGCAGGCGCTTGTTTTGGTTGAGTCTATTATGTTTTGTTTAGGGGTTGAGTTGTCATACATAAATTTAAAATTTATATGCATTTATTTTTCCAATGATTGTTATTATTCTCAAATGCTTCTGCGGGATTGTTGTTTTATCAATTCATTTGTAAATAAGATTGTTATATGTCTATTAACGGAATAATTTTAATGAACACGAAAATTAGTTCACACCTACATGTGTATTGGGTAACCGTGATGGTTAAGTCAATTGAAACACGTCAATATTATTATACCTCAGGCAGAGAAAAAGTGTGCAAAGATCGAGTAAATCGATAATCTTTATGTAGCCAGCCAACTTTGAATTGCAAGTATTTTTTCATATCTTTTCGGCAGAATAAAGTTTTCGAGGATTCGTATCGTAAAATGGCTGCCATTTACAGTATCAAGTGATTATCCCAAGCACCACTGCGACTTAGCGCGGGAATTTATAGCTAATCTCGTATACTTTTTTCATATTCTATTGTAATAAATATTTACAACCTGTGTCTTTCGGGGTTTTTTTTTTATCAATACATAACCAATAATGAGGTTAATATGAATAAATAATCATATCTCAAATCTTTGACTATGATTTACAATGAAATTCTACCTTAAGTGTATTTAAAAGGTTTTTAATTTCCTGTAATTTTATTTTGTGATTATGCTTCAAAGCAGTCAATTGACCGTGAATTTTCTTTTCATATTTTGATTTCCTTGAAATCATTTTTCTCATCTGAAGGCATGCAACTTTAATATGGTGATACATTAATTACATTCCATGAAAATGTTTAAAGATATAAAATATCTCATGACATGTTTGTTCATTTTACATTACAACAAAAAGTAGTATGCAATCGTACCTATATTACATGCGAATGTATGTAATATTTTTCTTGTTTATTATTCAATAAGATTGTAAATCATTATGAAATGCAGTGCGATCATCCTTTGCACAAAAATGTGGATAAAAAGTTGGTTTTAAGTGTCTGCAAAGGATAAATAGCTGAATGGCTATCATCTACAGTAAAAATTGAACCAGCGGTCACTGATATTCAGCAGTATAATGGCTTAAACCACAAAACAAAAATGTCTCAAAACGTACACGTTGTTCTCAGTTTCAAATGTTTTAAGCAACCACCTTTCTTAAGCAGACAATATATAGGCATGCTTCCCTTACCTAAGGGCTAAGTAATTTGTATCATTTTATACTATAATAAATAAGTATATAACCAGGATAATTTCCACACCTATGTCTTAAAAAAGTTCGATACATGATAAACTACCGATCTCTCGAACAAATTTGAACTGTCCCTCCAGGTTCAAGCGAACTAAGTTTGACTATATATTTTTGTTATCAATTACAGCAAAAGTAGCAGAGTTTCCTCCACTAAGATTACATAGGGGAAATACTCATCAAACATCGACGGAAAAATATACATGAAAATACAATATTTGAGTATTTCAAAGCGCATTTTATCACGTACATAAATGCCCTACTGGTTTCATATAGCAGTTCCCGGCACCAAATCGCACTTTTTCACAAATAAAATAAAAATCTGTCTACCAAAGAGTGCAAACTTTGACAGAACAAAGTGAGGTACCTGTCCAGCATTATCATGTTTTAATGTTGCTCTTTTATTTAACATTTGATGGAATAAAGGCCTGAGATGTAACAACTTTGCCCACATTTATTCAAAATTTCATAGCAGTTTTTCGAACCTTTTTTATTTTGAAATATAATTCAGTACCGATAAGCCAATGTTGGGTTTTCAAATACACATGTAGATAACTTCCAAAACTTTTCCGTGTCGTCTGCAAATATATTGTTTAAAAGTAGTGATTTACCTAGAATGGGATTTCAGTTATTGTGCATGGGCATTCAAACTTGAATTCCACAGGTGTTGCTTGTAAGTGTCGCAAGTTCTCTAATGTAACTAAAACAAGAGACAAAACTTTGAAACATATTAATCGCTGTACTATTATAACTGCTGTGTTACATAGAAAACAAATGTTTTTCTGACTGATGCAGTAACACAGATGCTTAACTTAGAAGAAATAGTCTGTATGCCTGGATGAAAATGATAAAGGGCCAGAATACTGCTAGGAGCCGGAAACTGCTAGGAAACCAGTATATAAATCCTTTTTCCAGTCTACAAAATCTGCGTCCAAAAAAAAATACTATGGGTAAGAAATAATATCTCTTGAACTAAAATTCACTCAAAACCAACATTATATATCCTATTTTTTTTGCACAAAGGATGAGCGTACTACATTTCATAATGATTTACAATCTTATTGAATAATAAAAAACGCTAAAACGTGCCGTGATTTAGCGCAAGAAACACATTGGCAATAACAAAAGTTATCATAAGAACTCTGTGACATCTTCAGAGTTATCACAAGAACTCCGGAACATTTGAAAAATCGGGTATATATCTGTTAGCCGGTGCTTTATGTTTGCAATTTTGCATTGTAATTAGGTAATTATGTATGACAAGGATGAAGACCAGAAATAAACAGGTCAAATCTTTTGAATTGGCAAATAATTTAGAAAGTTTACTGAAAACTACCAGATTTGAAGCAAGAGGCGATTAAAAATGGCATGTGAATTAGTTTTTGACACATAATACAAGATGTAAGACAAGCTTTATCATTAAAGTTTAATTTAGCACATAAAACATAAAAGATAAAATAACATTTTTAACGATGTTTTGTGTATATACGATGTTTTCGACGAACTCCCGGAGTTTTTAAAAACTTCCCGAACAAGTTTTATAAAATCCATCCCTTTGTGTAACATTTCCCCCTGTAGTTTTTTATTTCAAAGGAAAATCTTAAATTTAATTATTCGCTCTACTCAAAAATACTTCTTCCAATGAGAAAACCCATTCGGCGGGGGATGGCCATGTTGACATGGCTCTTGTTGGCATTGTTTTACAGAAGTATATTTTTTATAAATTTTCTTGCTATAAATTAAATTTACAATTTATATGCACATAATAAAACTGACTTTAATTAAAATTTTTAGAGTAAAGGCCTTGAAGTAAGCTGTTGACACAACAGTTAAATCTATTTCTTAATTATTTCCTTCGTAATAATCAAGTTTATACAGGTAGCCTCAAGTCTTTTAAGTTATACCTATATTCAAATGGAAACAGAACGATGCTATTTAAAAAAGACAATGTTTTTTTCTATTGCAGTTGAAGAGTGTTGGTCCAAAGCTAGTTCCATTCTTCAAAACATGCACAATATTCTTTGTGCTGTTTACTGGCACACCTGCAAGTGAAACAAGTGCACCATGGTTCTTCTGCATCATCAAATGTCTGCCAATTTTTTCATTAATTCTGTTCGTCCTTCTAAATGGAATGCACATAACAGAATATTACAGGTATTCAAGAAGGGTACTTATTGGTCTTGTATTCTCATGCCTTGGAGATGCCTGTCTGGTATGGAAACATAAATATTTCGAGCTGGGAATCGGATGTTTTGCTATAGCTCAAGTTTGCTACTCAAGAGCTTTTGGATGGAAGCCCCTAAATCTTTATGCTGGTGCGGTATTTGCCGCTTTAGGATCATTGGTTTATTACTTCCTCAGTGCAGGTCTGAAGGGCATCATGGTCTACCTGGTAGCAGCCTATGTTGGCGTAATTTGTACCATGGCATGGCGTGGCACAGCGCGTATCCCAACGTTCAACTTCTTTGATGATAGTGTCACATGGACCCAAATGTCTGGATGCTTTGGCTCAATAGCCTTTGTCATTTCTGATCTAACACTTGCTGTAGACAAGTTCCTATTTCCACTACCATATGCACACCCGATAATTATGATTACATATTATGCTGCTCAGTTTGGCATAGCTCTCTCTGTTGTTGACAGCCAAAATGATGCTTTAATTGCGCGATCATTAAATGATCAAAAAAAGAGGGAGGGAGACATTGACCAGTCAAATGGGATAAAAAAATATTATGAAAACTATACAAATAACCAGTATAAAGTTAATAATGGAAATACACTTATACAAAGGAATATTGGGACAGAAGTAAGTGGCTGAACATCTGGAAACCTGTCTCAGAGAGGTGGGAAAAAAATGGATTGTATAAACCATGTTCTTAAACAATGTTCATGAAGCATTTTCAGAAAACAAAAGTCATGTTAATGTATGGAACAGCATTTAATGTAGCAACATTGAGAATGCATAACTTTTTAACTATTTGTGGTCATTGTAGTTACTTGGGTTGTTTTGTTTTTTCGAAAATGACTGGTTTTCTGTATTTTAAATTATTAATGAATAATTGTTGTGGATTTACAAGTCAGTATTTATCTAAAATCAATATAAAAAGCAGTCTTTTACACTTGACTATTTAGTTTTTTTAGTTGTACCAATGTTGTTTCGAAGTTAAGGTGAACATTTGAGTTTAAATGAAATATTCTATGGTTAAAGAATACATTTTATGTCTATAAATTTGACTGCAAAGAATGAAAGATTTTGACTATCTGTTAATTATGCTTCAATTTAATGTATAGACAATTTTAGGAGATCAAAATGTTCAGAAAATATAACCATCATTAGAGGTACTTATTGTATTGTCAGTATTGTTTGTAAACAAGATATGTACATTGATCGTAGCAATAGTTTTAACCCTATTTAAATAGATAACTAGGTTATATGGGTGTTATTCTGGTCATTTTTGAAATTCAAAGTTTTTGTTACTTGTAAAATTTTAAAATGGAAATTTATACTGTAAGGGATGATTGTTAGACAGTTGACATTATGTGACTGTTGAAGACCAAACATTTATAACCAAGTTGAGTGTATTGACCTGACTTAAAGTAGTCGCTTACAAAATATTTGTAGGATGTTAAAGGTACATGTATGCTACTTTAATTAGCTACCCATTTAAATTGCAATTTCACTTCATTTTGTAATTTAGTGAGGCTCTTAAAATGCAAATTATTTCTTGGAGCACTTTGTATATATTTATACTATTAACAAGTGTAGGATGTACTTAAAGCTGCACGCCTCCAGATCGATAAAATCAAATCTGATAAGAATGTACTAAGATTTTAGGAAGAGTATAAAGATTCAAATTCTAGTAATAATTTACATATCATGTGCGATTAATGGCGGATTTTTCAGTATTTATAACTATATTTCTACTGCGTTACTAACGCAGTAAGGGCTATTTTTGCATAATTTGACCTGTTAACAGTATTTAACATGAGTTGTAAGTACTATTGATAATGTGTAAATTGCATTCTTATGGTAACTTCACAATATTAGACTGTTAAATACATTTTCAAATTTTCATATAAATTAGCATGAATTTGGAGGCGTGTTGCTTTAATGCAAGTAAATGGGATATATAATTATATTAAAAGGCTTGGACTTTTAACGGGTTTATATGTCTTCGATACACAATGAAAAAAATGGCTTTAAAGCAAAATAAAATTGAACTAGTCTTCCCTCCATTATAGCATTGTCTGTGTGACTTGTATGTCCTTGAAGTTTTCACCTTGAATTATAATATTTATTATATGAAGGGCATTCTATATACTAACCTCTTATTGTTATTGTTATGAATAAAAAAAAGTATGCTAGCAGATTATGTTCATTAACATAGTTCTGTCAGTTTATATTTGTGTCGTTTTTGGCAAGCTATATGTTCTATGTACGTAGGTACTTAATAATTAATAACCAAATTATTACGCAACATACAAACTTTAGACAGATGTTAAAATTCAACTGTTGTTATAGATATATTCAGGGCAGAATAAGTACATGTCTAATGCCATTTTAAAGCAATATAAATTAAATGGCTGAAGTGTAAATTTCGTTGACAGTTGAGAGGGATATGGAGTAAACATTTTATAACTGACATTAACATATATCTAAAATTCAGTCAAAGTATGCCTTAAGCCATGGTTTTATTTTAATATTAAAATCTATAGAACAGTGTCAGTTAGCGAAACATGAAAGGTAAATTTAATTATCTGGCCTCACAGTTCTTGAAATAAGTAGATTTCACCAGTTTTTTTCAGAGCTTTAATGTCAATAGAACTTGCAGGGAGAGATTGTGTAATATAATCAATATTGAATAATCTCTGCTAAGACAGCTTACTATTGAATAGTGTGGCTCTATATATGCTGTATTATAGTTCATATTAGATCATTCCTTACGAAAATGTTTACGGTTGTTTTGTTTTTTGTTTGTTTGTTTTATGTATATAATTAAATTATAAAATAACCTTACAACATTGATTATGCCCCTCACAATCTGTTTTGTCAGCAGATGTACATTCCTCCACCTGTTTTTTTACTCAAGTAGTGAGGGCATAAAAACAGTTACTTGTTATGGACAGGACTTCTGAGTTGTTTTTGTTTGTTTGTTTTTTTCTTTCTTTCTTCATCTACAACAATAACCTAAACGCAGTTATTCAGGGTATTGATCTTTATTATTTTCTGATTTTTGTTAAAGATAGTCATGAAGCAAATCTATTGTTCATTCAAACACTAATTAAGGGATCAGATATTGTCCTCCTGATGCTTAATACAAGCATTTGTCTTAATAGTTTTAATCATTTGGGAAATTTAAACTTAAAATTTAAACCTATTTTGAAAGCATTTGATTGATAAGCTACATGTATATGTATAATTTGCAAAAAAAACCTGTGAATATCTGAGAAAAAAGAAGAAGAAACTGTCCAGGCATTGGGTACTTTGGTAAGCTTTAATAAAAATTCATTGAGATAATGTAGTTAATGGATATGATATCCATTGCAGACTTTATACCCTGTAAACCTTTTGATTTTTTACTCTGGATAATATCATATTTTAAGTACATGACTTAACATTATTGCAAAAACAGAAATTATTAGGTCACAGACCAAAGTTTCCTTTTCACTTAAAGTGAATGTACTCTTTTCCCCTTATGTTATGTTTTAATCATTGATTAAAAGATGTTATTTCCTTTTGTTTTTCCTTTGGAAGTCCAATGTCTCGTTTTTGAACAAAATGGTACTATGAACATATTTTGTGCAATACAAGTTTATAATTGATATTAATAAATTGAAAGTTACATGTTAATGTAAATTTCTTGCCAGTATATATTACATTATGTAAATGTATGTAAAGGTTGTAAAATTCATTGTGTGATGTAAATACGGTAATCACCTCATGTATATATTGAGCAGCGCCATGACAAAACCATCATAGTGCGTTTGCGACCAGCATGGATCCAGACCAGCCTGCGCATCCACACAGTCTGATCAGGATCCATGCTGTCCGTTACCAACCCTTTTACAAGTAGAGAAACTAATAGCGACCATCATGGATCCTGATCAGACTGCGCGGATGCATAGGCTGGTATAGATCCATGCTGATCGCAAACGCACTATGTTGGTTTTGTCATGGCGCGGCTCATATAAGTAGTTTGTCATGTATATATTTCATCATAGAAACATTAGATTAGGCATGGTTGCTGTTATAATGTGATTTTTGTGTTAAAGTGACATGCCTCCAGATTTTACCATGAAATTTCATCAAAAATACAGTCCAGCTTGTTGTTTGAAAAGCCACACTGTGGTCTTTGTTTGCATGTCACCCAATTTTAAAAGGTGTTAATGTCAACAAATATTATATGTTTGGAAAAATAATCACGGTCTTCAAAATTTAATGGTCATTTATACAGGGTTTACGGTAGATTTAAACCTTGAGTGTGATAGTGGTAGTAATGGCAAGTCTGCATGTTCCTTCAAGTTATTTTAAAATGATGTTCAAATTTAAAATCTATAAGATGTCTTTCCTATGAAATTGTTCAAAATGATTGTGATGAACATGGTCAAAATAAAATGATGAAAATGGGAGATTCATATTTATTTTGCAAAGTGCCACCATAAACTGATATACTTATATTTATAATATTTACATATATAGAGGTTTCAGGTTTTTTTTTGGTAAAATTTAAAATATATGTCTTTCAGTCTTTTTTGTTTTCCATCTGGAGGCATGCCGCTTTAATCAATGACATAACTAAATAGGTTTAACTTTGACCTTTGTGACACATCTGTCAATGATTCACCAGCATGTGACAATTACATTATTTCAGTACACAATGAACCATTTTCTGATCAAAGTCAAGTAGGGGTTATTATATATAACTTGCCATACTGAAATGTCTGCCAAGGGTAATATGTCATTGTGGTTAGATTTTTCCTTTATATTATAGTCTAAAATACAGCTGTTTCAATGTTTTTTTACTACTTATTTTGCTAAGTAATACACGATTTACATCACTGAACATCTTTTGTTGTTTTCGATAAAGGACTAAAATTATGAATCTTTATGAAATATTTAGTAAACATATCGGTATATACATCCTACATGATGTATAAAAAATACAGTATTATTATGATATAGTTATAAAATTATATTGTTCAATTTTATTTTTGAAATGACAAAATTGTCTCTACAAAACAGATATGTTTCTTTCAATATTATGTTTAAATACTAGTACATAGTTATAGATCGTTAGATTTATTCAGATAAAATTACATGAAACCAAAAAAGCAAAATAGTAAATGCTTATAACTGTAAATCAAAGGTTTATATTTTGATACTTTCCAGCTGTTGTGACTTTAAAACTTTCTTTTTTCTCTAAATTTTTCACGAAAATATATATATAGTTCAGCACTGATTTTTTTAACTCACTGTTAAATATTATATCTGATAAATTTTAGTTTTTCATCATAAAAGAATTTTGATCAATACTGAGACATTGGATTTTATAGAGATTTTATGTAGATTTTGAAAGCCTTATAATAATTTGGCAACTGTTGCATAAATAAATGTTTATGTTTATGTGTTTATGAGAATAGGAAGGCTACTTAGAAAAACATAAAATATTTTACACAAATACTTACCATATACAAGGTGTGATTAGATTTTGTTATCTTATTACGAAATTTGTTGAACATGTCTTTCTCAAGGTGAATAGGAATAATTTATTGGTGTTAATGTATTCAAAAATAAAATTAATGTTGTAATACCTGTCAGCTTCTTCATATAATAAATAAATTTTGTCATATCAGGGGAGACCACTCTGTCTGCTTAGCAGCTTTATATGTTTACATTCACATATAGTAGTGTGGCAGTAATGTCACAGTATTCATCTTAATGTGTTCATGCTCATCTGCAAACAATGACATTTTATATAATGTTGTCACTTTGGAGATTTATTTTGTAGTACATGTATATATTATATAGCATTTATTGTAAACCAACTAAATATAACCAAGGCAGTTTTCAATGCAAATTTAAACTTTGTTTTTCTGTGATTTTATTTTTTTGTTGAATATCGTTTCTCTGTAGAAGGTTTGGCACTAAATAACTATATACTGACATTACATATTTTTTTATAGCTAGCGTAATATTTGTAATAATATGTGGTAAAATCAGTCCAAATAAATGTACTACGCAATGAGATATATATGCCTCTGACGTGATTCTGACATACAACAAACAATATCTCACAATCTAGCTTTCAACATTAAAATATTTAAAGCTACTAAATACAATATGATATAGTTTCCCCGTAGCATTGTGATATATGTGTAAGGTTTCTTTTAATATATTAAACCATAGATGTTTCCTCTTTTTAATAGACAAAAAACATTTACACTCGAAATACATGTACCGGTATATCAAATTTAACTTAATTATTTTAAGCAGTATTAAGTTGAATTTCATTATTTTAGGAGGATATAAATGTATGTAATAAGGACTTGTATTAATCACTAATACATCATTTATTTTCCTATGCTCAATTGCCAATACTTATGTTATTTAAGGAAACTTTTACAACATTTATGTTGAACATGATGATCACACTTGAAAGCTTTTTATTAGATGTTTTTCTAAATCAGACTTGTGTATAATTTTGCTATTGTATGTTGCAAAAAGGGAAATGATTCATTTACCTAAATGTATAATATAATGTTTAATACTATGAAAGACTTATGTTCAAGGAAATTTATTCAAAAAGTTAATTTTGTTTTCAATTACAATGGATAAGTTTTCTAAAAAAACACTTCATTACTAAACAGAAGTTCAATAGTATTATAAATTTTATCTGTATTCAGAATAAAAAATTGTTATATTGTTAGTTATTAATATAATAAACTATTACTACATATTCTCAAGGCACATTTAATTAATTATATAATTGTGGTAATTTTACGATTTTTCCATTTTTCAACATTTTCAAGCATGTGATTAAAGGAATGTTTAATTGTTGTCCTTCCAGTGGTAGTTCTTTCAATAAAATAAATTTGTCTCAGCAAAAGTTATCTAAAGCTTGACATTGGCTCACTTTGTAAAAGTTTCCTGGTTATTCATTTAAAAATCGTTACAAAATAAAAAGTAATTACTATCCTATATTTAACAAATTGCAAAGTTTTTTTTTTCAAGGTTTGTTTGAACCTTTGTCTTATTTTGACACCATAATTTCGAAACAAATTAATCAAAGAAGTTGCTGGAAGTTTGTGAATCTGTTAGTGTAAGTATGATTAATAATTATTCAGTGCCAAACTTACTACAGAGCTGTATATACAGGGATTATACTTATAAACTCAGCAGGACTGAGAATGATGAATAACTTTGTTATTTTTCTGATAATTTCTTAATTCTTTCCTTTATTTCTTGATTCTTTCTTTCCTTTACTTAAAATTGATACTGTGCTATTATGACCTATGAACAGAAAACAGAACAAATTTTATTAAAGTAGCATGACTATAGATTTGTAAATTGTTTTTATGATTAAAATGCTTTCAAATGTACAAAATGCACTAACTATCCAAAGTCATTACCTTTAACTTTTTAGAACACACAGAAATTTCTTTACTTTATTCTTTAAACCCATCATCAGTGTGAAAAGATTAGCATTGTAATTGAGCATTTTTACATTATTATTATTCAAAAGAAGACAAATTTTATTGCAAACCAGAAATTTATTGTTATTGCCACTGGTGAGTCAAACATGGTTTTGGTCTAAATTTATATAAATACTCAAAGTATTATAAATAGCTCACAATATAGCTATACCCTGTCCTTTAACAAAATTTCCTTATAGGCAAATGAATATAGTACTCTTTTATAATAACCGATATCATACTTGATTTGCTTATTACCAAGAAAACCTTGTCAAATTTATTCTAGTCTCATGCCATGTTTTCTGTCTTGAGTTACAATAAAATTTGTACATTTATTAATGTGTAGTGCTGAATGTATATGAAAAGATAATGTACAAACGATGTCTCTTTTTCTCTTTGTTGGTTTGATTATGTTTTAGAAAATCTATTAACAAACTTATCTTATTGTTGATGGAAAATTGTTGTTGTTGTTAGTGTTTTAGAATGCACAGTTTTTCTCTTCCCTTGTAAATTATCATTATCCATTTGTTACCTTTTTCTTGAACTTCTTTCAATAAACATAAAAAACTCCCAATTTGTTTCTTGTTTTTTCTCAAGTCAAAAGAAAGGTGTTTTACCCCAGGACAAATGAGTTAATTGAAATTAACATGAAGCATGGACACAAGTTACTTGATATTTAGAGGTAAATCTAATTATTTATACAAAGAATAAACTTAATTAAGATAAATTCGAGAGGTGGAGGTATGTGTTACACATTTTTGTACCCTTATTGAAATGAAAATTTATTCTATATAACCCTAGGCGAAATGTGGAATACCTAATCATTTTGTCTCGTACCAAGCTGTTAAGTCAATCCCACTTGTTTCTAAAACACTGGATTTTATTCATCAACAACATTATAGAAGATGCAAAGTATGAACTTTCAACATTCAACTTTTAAATATATGACTTGCAGTAACCACTATTATATATCTTCCATTTAGTCAACCCCCCATGTGGGACCAAAATTTTGTGGGTCACTACTGAGTAAAGGCTGGCAATGTCTGATTTTGACTAACTTGTCGATTTTTATCTAAAGCCTTTCTTAACTTGTTCCAATGATATTTATATACATGTAGTAAATTCTTGAAAATTTCCACTAGTAAATAGACAATTAATTTCGCTGTCCCTGGTGAGAAAGATAAAAGGATAAGTTTAAAAGTGAGATTTAAGTTTGAAATACATGCAAACAAGCTTCTTGAACATGGGCCCAGGCAAGGTGAAACATCTGGAAGAATCAGCTTTTGTTGTGGTGGGTAGTTGTTTAAATTTGTTTGAAAGCAAGGGAATTGGTTTGATAATTGGTTTAAAATAGTCTGGGAGTGGAATGGCAGCCTTATTTTGCAAGATGTTTTGAAGCATAATAAGGCACTGATCTATTTGCCTCTTTGCCTTATGCACCTCCGCTCCAGGGAATCTAGCATGGCTGAGACACTTGATGTAGGACTGTAGTCCTTATTGACTTAGCGGGCAGCAAAATGCTGCACAGACTTAATCTGGTCAATGAGAGTTTCGGTGTATGGTGACCAGATATTGAACCATTACTCAAGCTGGGGTATGAAAACTTTTAAGTGGTTTAGAGTGGACCTTGATGTTTCATCGCAGGAATCATAGTTTCATTTGTATATACAGTGCATATATGGTACATTGTTTAATTAATTCATATAATTAATACATATAACTGCATTCTCATTTCATTTTACATTTGAAGTAAACGAATTTAAAGCTTACATAAGCATATTTATTTGTCGGCAAAACTATAGTTTGCAGGAAAATCTTAATGGTATTGTTTTGTTCATTCTGTTTACTTGTGTCAACACTTACATGCAGCACTGAATAAGTAAGGTGTACTATCATCTATGCGAGGCATTAATAAATCCTCCATACTTTTATGTAAAGTTTATATAGCCATTCCACATTAATAAGTAAAGTGCATAATTATGTTGTTGGACTTATCTGCAATGTTTATTATAGAAGCAGATATAAATGTGACCCAGTCTGTGTACATAAGACACTATAATAAGTTCAGGACATCTTCAGGGTTCTCCTCCAAAATATGAGGATAAAAACTCAGAAAATCAGCTCTGAAGCAGGAACATCTTTGTTTGTTTGGACTTGTTAACACATTTATTGGAAAAGTAATCTCACAGAGCAATAATTTTGAAATAAACTTATATAATAAATAAAATATAGAATATTTTGTATTATCTGTGCCAACAAGAACATTTTAATAATTAAATAAATTTAAAAATTAATTAAATGAAAGACATTCATTTAACTTTTGAAATTTTGATGTTGATATACATGTAGTTTTGCTATTATTCATTTGTAAATATAAATTGACATAAATAGTCTTAATTAAAAGTTAAATTGTTCATTGTTTTTTCATGTTGTAGTGACACCACTTCACCATCCCTGGCTTGTTACTCATTCAAAAGATGGTGGGCAGACATAATTTTGAAATTCATATATAATGAAGAAGCCCAAACCTGTGCTCGGGAACATCGTCTCAGTTTAGTTAATATATCTGCCAAGTACATTGTAGTTTCAATTTTCTTCAAATAGTTTAGAAGATACAGAGCTGACACAAAATTGCTAACAGAGAGTTGGACAGATGACCAGGTACATAAAATAAATGCCAAATAAAAACTGTATAGTACTGGTAGATGTTGATAATCTGAAACTAAATATAAATATCATATACTATCCTCAACTAGCTTTGTACTGGAATGATAAATAATATAGTGATATGTTTTATCAATTTTATTTGATATAATAAACAAGAGCTGTCGGTAGGACAGCAACGCTCAACTATTCTTAGTGCTTGATAATAAAAAAAATGCTTGATAGAGTTACCTCCTCCTATTTACAGGTTGGGGTCATGATGGTGAACAAGTGTGCAAAGTTTCAAAGCCATTTGTCAATGGACTTTGAAAATATTTGAACTATTACAAAAACTTTAACGTAAATTCTAAGTCGAAAAAGGGGCTTAATTCTGTCAAAATTGATAGAGTTACCTCCTCCTGTTTCCAGGTTGGGGTCATGATGGTGAACAAGTGTGTAAAGTTTCAAAGCCATATGTCAATGGACTTTGAAAATATTTGAACTATTACAAAAACTTTAACGTAAATTCTAAGTCGAAAAAGGGGCATAATTCTGTCAAAATGCTTGATAGAGTTACCTCCTCCTGTTTACAGGTTGGGGTCATGATGTTGAACAAGTGTGCAAAGTTTCAAAGCCATATGTCAATGGACTTTGAAAATATTTGAACTATTACAAAAACTTTAAAGTAAATTCTAAGTCGAAAAGGGGCATAATTCTGTCAAAATGCTTGATAGAGTTACCTCCTCCTGTCTACAGGTTGGGGTCATGATGGTGAACAAGTGTGCAAAGTTTCAAAGCCATATGTCTATGGACTTTGAAAATATTTGAACTATTACAAAAACTTTAACGTAAATTCTAAGTCGAAAAAGGGGCATAATTCTGTCAAAATGCTTGATAGAGTTACCTCCTCCTGTTTACAGGTTGGGGTCATGATGTTGAACAAGTGTGCAAAGTTTCAAAGCCATATGTCAATGGACTTTGAAAATATTTGAACTATTACAAAAACTTTAACGTAAATTCTAAGTTGAAAAAGGGGCATAATTCTGTCAAAATGCTTGATAGAGTTACCTCCTCCTGTCTACAGGTTGGGGTCATGATGGTGAACAAGTGTGCAAAGTTTCAAAGCCATATGTCAATGGACTTTGAAAATATTTGAACTATTACAAAAACTTTAACATAAGTGGTTACGCCGACGCCGACGCTCGGGTGACTACAATAGCTCTACTTATTCTTATCGAATAGTCGAGCTAAAAAATCAATTTATTGATACAGCACATATAGCTATAAACTTCATATTGCACCAGTTTAACACACACGGTTTTAAGTCCATAGGACCAAAAACAGTTTTGCTCCGGGTCTTGACCCCAAAAAAATGAAGGGTGGCGGTAAAAATTTTCCTTTTTAAAACCTTGTTGGCTCTTTTTAAAATTGGCCACAACAAAGACGAAATTTTAATCTGCTTTTCAAAAACTAAGCTTTTATTTTCATGTATTTGCTTAAAAGAAAATTTCTTGCTAAATTTTCCAGTTTTTGTGGAAATTTAGTTCTGCTTTTTTAAATTTTAAAACTAGAAATAATAACCAAATTTTCCCTCTTCTCTATGAAATTTTTTTTAAAAAATGATCTTTTTGGTACATGAAATTAAAATAAAATTTAAATTTTCTGCTTCAAAAACGATTAAAATGCTTGAATTTGGAAAAAGTTTTTTCCCCAAAAAAATAAAAATGATGCTCATTTTAAAAAATTCCAAAAAAAAAACCCGTTTACGTTACAAAAAAAAATAAATCAATTTTGTTAAATTATCATAGCCTACAGCTTAAACCGCAGGTTACTTCCTTAACCTTTTCTTGTGTCTGATCAGCCCTACAGTTTGAGATTTTAATTTTATAAATTTTTTTAAAGTAGCCCCACTTATTCTATTGTCCTTTGACTTTTACAACTAAAAGACTGGATATACTTTGCCCCGGAAATGGTACTCTGTTTAAAAACCCAAAAAACCAATCTTAAAAAGCAGTGTAGCATATTCATAACTCAAAACTTTTTAGAATTTTCTTATTCGTAGTACCAGCTACCCTTTCCTTCTCTATCACATTTCTTCAATACACATGTCTATATAGCACTTGTTATTTCATGATATCATGACAGTAATACTTTCTTCTTCTTCACATTGGGGATGGTATTTCTGCTGCGTAACTTTCTAACTGCCTCTCGTATATGTTTAGGTTGAATTGGTCCCGAGTCATTCCATAATTCTAAAACATCTAACGCTGAAAGACAAAAGTAGGTAACAAGTACAGAAACATACTTCAAGTCCAAAGCAAAAATAATTTATGTATCATATACTAAATGTAGTAATAAGGTCTGAGTGTAATAATCTTCTCTTTTACGTATCACAGTATTTTTTAATTAAAGTGAATTACTTATAATTTTTCTAAACAAATTATACAAGTAGCTAAAGTAAAAGATATATTAAAATATACTGTAGTAGTTGCTTAAGCACAAAGATGATTTGATCTCTTCATACAAAGACACTGCTGCAGAACACACAAAACAAGAGACGCAATTCTCCACTTTTCCTGTTGCCAAAGTCGAACACATTGGAGAAGGAACATTGTAGTGAAGTGTGAACATTAAGGGAATACATCAATTTAAGTTTAAATTTCAATTAAAATTATATATGTGACATTGACAGTCACACTTGAATTGTTAAGTATTAAGATGATCCTTTTATAAATAACAAAGTTATAGCCAGTTATAGCAAAAATCAAACAAATCATATTAGTTTTGCAGTCGTGGTCATTTATGTGTTGCGGTCAAGTTTTGTCTAATTTACTTGACTGTCTTGTCCAAAATGTCTATGTATGAAAGCAATTCATTAAGAAATGTAAAACCAAATTATGAACTAAGTGATAAGTTTTTGTATGGAAAAGGCAACAGCAACTTCCACATCATGACTGTAGCAATAACTGAATCTATTTTTTTGAAAAAGTCAAGCAAACACAAGCTGCCAGATGAACAGTGTATTTACTATTATCAAAATGTTATAGTAATACAACTAACAAAATCAATGCTGCGATTTTTTAAGTGCAGAAAAAGGGCTAATAAGTAATTTAGTAAAACTACATGTAAGAGTTATGGTTCTTGATCAATGACCTTCACTACAACAATGAAATTTCATACAATTCTTGCAGATAATTCAAACAAGAATTTTCTCAAAATAGTTCTCAAGTGGGTATATTTAAATCAAAATTCATGGTTACATCAAGTACCTACAATTATGACCTTGAGGACATGTGTGTAGCTAATAAGAAAACATTTTAAAGTCAAAACAATGTAAAGTGTAAAAACCTTAACAAAGTGTAGGTTAACACTGGCACTATGGTTTGTAGGATATGCACACTATTCCAAAAAGAAAATAACCCAGCATTTATTTCAACGAAAAAATACAACAAGAGCTATTGGTAGGACAGCACACTTGACTATTCTTAGTGCTTGATAGTAAAAGAGCCTTGATATTGTAAAAATTTCTAAGTTCACAAAAGGGCCATTTAAGTTTCAAATCAATGTTACAGTTACCGGCCTTGGAGAAAGTCCTGTTTTGCACTCAAAAAGGTGTATAAAATTTCAACTTGTTTCAAAGCAAGATATCAATGAAATATAAAAAATATCTAAGGTGGTACGCAGATAAATTTTAAGTCAAAAAGGGGGCATAATTCTCTAAAATGCTTGATAGAGTTACCACCTCCTGTCTACAGGTTGCGGTCATGATGGTGAACAAGTGTGCAAGGTTTCAAAGCTCGGGTGACTAGGATAGCTCTACTTATTCTTCTCAAATAATCGAGCTAAAAAATTTAAAACATGGCTTCAGAAATACATTTGTGTATACCTTCTTCAACAACTTCTCCAACAAATACCTTCGCTATACCTGCCATTGCTATGACTACATTCGGAGATATTGCTGTGCCAGTTATTGATTGCATCAACTGAAATAAATTTAATAAAAATTTCTGAAAAGCTTTTCTGTGTTTACATACAAAAACAAAAAAGCAAGTATCAGTATGTCATCTCAAAGTTGCCAGACTGTTACACTGTTGTTGTTTTTTTTGTTTTGTTTTTTTTTAAATGAAAATCAGGAAATCCAAAAAAAAAGAATACATGTATAAATGCATAAATGCAAGTGTATGAAATTCATAATGAATACACCACTGTATGAAGAATATTAAGTCACTTAATATCATTCTGTTAAGTTATTGTGTAAGACACTAACATTGATATGATACTCCTTCCAGAAGAAACACAGGATACATGTAAGTGAATGTCAGGACCACTTGTCTAACTCAACAAATTTGGATTTCAAGTCATATCATACATATTTAGGAGAAGAATTTTATAAGACACGTTGTTTTTCATTCTAATCCTGTTCTCTGTATATTGTAAATTGTAACATGTATATATATTCTGTTTGTTTGTTTCATTTTACACCTTTCCCCAGCAGTATTTCAGTCATATAGGCAGGTAGTTTCCTAACCATTGTTCCTGTAGAGTTACACCAGTACTAGACTACCTTCCTCCGAGCTAAACTACCAAAGCATCTTCCGGGGATGAACCCATGCCAGAGAGGTAACTGGATTAGAAGTCATTGACTCTAACCCCTCGACCACGGAGGCGGTTATATTCTAAGAAATAAAATATGTTTAAACTAAGTCATATCACTGTTAAAAGGGATATTGTGAGTATTGGCACAAGTAGGGCCTGAGTAAAAACCCCGACCCTTCCCCTAAAATGCTGGATAGCTTTTTTCACATTTTAAAAATAAAAATCCCTGACAAAATTAGCCCCAAAAAAGGTGTCAGAGGGGGGAAAAGGGTTTTAATTTTTTTTGCTGGTGTCCTTAACAACTGGACCACAGAGGTCGATAAAGTTTACAACAATAACAATTATAGAACTTTACCCTTTTAACTGCTGCTTTAGGAAAAGCTGCTCTCCTGTACATTTCATATCTGTTGAGTTGCTCCTCAGAAAAGTTTGAAACAAGAACCCTGTAAAAAGAAAATTTATATCTTTCATCTAGACAGAATATCAGGGGATGTAATAAGAAACATTTTCTGAAAAGTAGTTAATACAGTTACAAAAGTACAATACACATAAAGCAGAAAATACACTATTGTCCTTGCCACAGTGTTATTACGAAGGAAAATCACAGAGGAACTCTGTAAAACCCCTTCATTCTCAAAACTGCTGCAATTATTGATAGCTATGTCATGTTTCTGGAAAAGTCCTCCACTTTTTTTCTTTTATATATAATAATCAAAAGGATTAATATAAGAGATTAATTGATTTTTGTAATAGTAAAACAATCATTTTGTATATTAAGTTATTAACTTGCCAGTATTCTGGAAATTTTCATCAACTGCTCATGTTTCCCTTAAACTCTCATTTTAGTACACAATTTCACTGTTGTTGTTTAAAAAAATCTTGTGTTTATTTTGTTTTTTTTGCAGTACAGGCAATTAATGTAAAGGAAATGTAAAACCCCCGCGGGGCGGGGGACATTTTTCTGCACATCAAAATCGCCAGAAATTTAAAAAAAGATTTTTGCGATTTCAATCCCTTTTTAAATATAAAATCCCTTTAAAAAAAAAAATGTTTTATGTATCTTTTTTTAGGGTGAAAAATAAACGCCCCAAAAACCTGTGTCAAAATATTTGACTAGGCTAGCAATAGTCTCAATATTTCCACTGCAAGACTGACCGATTATACAAACTTGTATCACATAGATGTCTATCCAACCATTAAATATTTCAATAATAAAAAGCTCCAGTGTACATTTTATCTATTTATCTTCCATAAATGCCAAACCCTTCGCAGGGACATAGACATGACTCTAGCCTAGTTACTTAGAGACAGCTATGAGATAGATAGGACTTCGGGAACCAGTCCCTAGCTCTTATTGAATAGACACCATGGTTCTTTTACATGCCCAGTGTATAGCACTGATACATGCAAGGATTACCTTAATCCTATAAATATGATGTAGCTTTGAGATATTTTTGCTTCCGGGCAAAGTCATATCGAAATTGCTCAAAAAACCATTGCACGTTCCACCATCAAATCAGGCGGAGCAAAAAACAGTTAAGACAGCGTGTCTTTACATTAATTTTGACCTATATATGAACAAAACTAAAAAAATAAATACCTTTAGATAAAAAAATTAAACTGTCACATCCGAAAAAAGTCATGATTAAATCCTCTCATGTAATTAAATTCCTTATACAGCCGATAAACAAATGGCCGCCGTACAGTGCGCGAAATCTGATTGGCTAATTCAAATGTAAGCGTTTAACTGAGTCAGAAAATTGTAATGGAAAAATATTTAACGAAAAAATTGCCCCCGTCGGGTGTTTAAAAAAATTTTTTTTGGGTTAAAAAAAATTTTGACATTTTTTGAGGGTTTTTGTTTATTTTTGACCCCAAAATTGAAAAAAAAGATAAGTTTTTGGGAAAAAAAGTTTGGGAAAGGCAAGCAATGGGGAACTTTTTTAAAAATTTATTTTAACTATGCTTAAGGGAGCAATAATAAAAGGACCCCAGGTTTGACCGACATAAACTTTTTAAAAAGCCTGTAACTTTCCTGATATTATTGGCCCTGGGCCATTACCTGGATTTCTTACCAGTACACCTCTAATTAGGTTGGAAAAACAGAAAGTGTCTCTGAAAAAACCCAAGGGTGTTACCCAGGATCGAACCAGGGACCTCAGGAGTGGTCTAACCAACAGAGCTATCGCACCACCTAACATTTTGTTGGTCGAGGCCAGCAATTCAAAATTATCAATCTCAACACCAGGAACTCACTGCATTTTCTGTCTTTCTTCTTCTTGTTTCTCATTTTTCTGTCTTGTTTCTTCATCTATCTCTGCTTTCCGCTTCCTATCTTGAGAAGGGGATGCCTTAGTTTTTGATGGCGACTTAGACTTTCCTTTGTCAGGTGATTCCGTCTCGGTCTCAGATTCTGAAGATTTCCTTGGAGATTTTTGCAGATCTTTAGTTGAAGAAGTAGACGGCGATACGGATGGCGATATGTTAGGGCGATCTGTGTGATCTGGACTCTGAATGACGGGTTTCATGTCTTGAATAGACAGAGGACTATCCATTCTGTCTTTAAATAGAAATAGAAAAAGATAGAAAAATTTTAAATGAGTAAATTTTCTTTCGGACGCTTGAAACGATGTTGATATCGTCTGTAAGACAGAAACTTTTATCGACCCAACGAAAAAAACTACAGGTAAGGTTTTAAAGCACAAAAAGCATCTGAGATCTCGAAAGCTTTGAGGCATCAGAAAAAAATCTAAAACATTTATTTTTTAGATGAATCATGCAAATGAATAAAAAAATATGCTTAAATGAGTCCTATAAAATGAGTAGAATAGAGAGAAATAGAATATGTAATTAAAGAAAGTCCAAAACGGCAAATTGAAAATGTTGCAGGCTCGGTTTGATTGAGCCTGTTCATGGACGGTAATGGTAAGTGCAAGTTACCGTCCACGCCCCCTAGCCCCGGCTTAAGCAGTACTCAACATTTAAACATATTATGGTAAAATTTTGAATTTAGAAACGTCCACAGATGTGTTCATACGGCGCTTTTAATACATGTATGTCGTTCATTCACATGAGATTATCAAAAAATAACATGATTTAACATTTTACTTTTGAATATTTTGTCAGCTTCATTAAAAGGCAATGGTTAATGATTAAATGAATTTATGTGTGAAAATACCTGCATATATATTTTTGAGTGAGATATACTCTCATGTTTATCTACTAACAGATTTTACTGCTTTGAAATTCAAGTGTACAATTTTTGTTTATTTTGGGTAATAAGCAAATGCAAAAAGTATTGTCAGATGGTAGAGTTGTCTGGCTACACATAATCGTCAAATTGTCATTCTATTAACTTATATTTTCTCAAGGAAAACGTCAGTAACCATTTTCTTTAGAAATAACACAGATAATACTCATTGTCTTATTCAAGGAAACGTCGAGTACCATTATCTCAAGAAATAAATAACAAGCATAAATTTTTATCTTGTAAAGAAACGGACGTTTGTTACAATCCGTTGAAAAAATTTAACTACCCCAAGCAAATGAAATCCAATTACCAAATACAAAACTATGAAATATCAAATATACAAAAAAAGCAAACACAATAAATTTTACATTATCTAGGAAAACGTAAAATACCATTTTCTCCAGAAATATTTTCTTCAAGGCATAAGATATTACTTTGTTAGAAAGATAGCTTCCTTTACACTATTGAATCAAATTTAAGAGAAGGACCCTTTAATAGAGAAAATATGAAAATGTGTCGACAAGACCACAGGACATGAGACAGCCGGGAGGATAAGGGCAAATCTATTTAAAGCCCGCCACCCACTCTGAAGCGGGGGCAAAATTCATAGCATAAACATTTACAAATGAAGGAAGGTTATATTTCATGAATGGGCGAAAAGACTTATATTAATTTATTTTTCCTATCTTCTCAAATATATTCCAAAGCTAGTTCAATAGCTTTGACATTCGCATCAGCACGTAAAAAATCAACAGGACGAGGCAAAATAGATGACATATAAATAGTATCAAATTGATCAGTATAAGATTTCACAACTGAGATTAATTTTGAACACAAAGAAGAAATTTATCATAGTTCACATTAACTGGTCCTTTTGCTAACGTGAAATAGAGAAATCGGAATCCATAAAGAAAGTCCAAAAAAGGCAAAACTGAAAATGTTGCAGGCTGGGTTTGATTGAACCTGTTCACGGACGGTACTGTCAAGTACAAACTAAAATTAAATGTTTATAATGAAATTTTCGTCAGGTGATAAGCATCTTATATTTGTCAATTCGTTATAACCACATTTCTACAAAACACAATCAAAAAACAAAAAAACAACAACAAAAAAAAAACATACAACAAAAATAACAACAGAAATGAATTTAAAAAAAAATCTGAAATAAGACTTGTTTGTAATTTGCGAATGAGCTGCGAGTTGTTATCAAAATATGTTTTGTTCTTTATCATTTCATGTAAATATTTGTATTTTTTTTGTAAATATGTTATATGCTCTTCAACATTTAAATGGAATAAAAGAATATATTTTGCTGTTATGTTGAAGAGTTAGAATATCATGGTCATAGGAAAAAAGTTTAAAATAAATACACAATTTTTAGCAAGGACTTTTAATATAATTAAAGTTCTTGCTTCTAGTAATTTCTTTTTTGAAATTGCAAGAAAATGATTCAAACACTGGCTGCCCTAACAGACGATATTGTATCTCATCATACAATTAAGAAGCGTATAATTTATGGCCAGATTATAAACTTCATGACGTGAATGAGAAAAAAAACACATATAGTCGCTAAAAATACTTAAGAAGTAATGGATGGTAAAGGTCTAATCTGTTGAAGGTCTGTAAGAATAATGAGCAATATTTATATCTAAGAGGGACAACTTTTGTAATCTTGTTAAATTTCGTTCAAAATTAATATGTAATACGCGGATGAATAAATTGAAAATACTAAGACATCTTAAAAAAACATTGCTATTTTCACTTAACGCTGATTGATTTATTTCAAAGATATCGTTTTAAAAGTAGAATATATGTCTTTTCTGTAGATTTTATATCAAGTTTAAAATAAACGGACTATTTTATGGTACCATCTGACGTGCGGATGAACATCTTATTAGCGGATGCGCTACGGCTTTCAAAGTGACTGAAAGTGAAAGAAAAGAAAGAGCAGTGACGACTAATAAAATTATTTTTCACCTAAAAAGGGAAATTTGGAGATTAAAAAATAAGTTCCTTAAGGGCCGGGTAAGATTTTATTTTCCTTTACAAATCGAACGATGCTGTGGATTTTACTGTGAAATTATAAACGGGCTATAATCCAGGACATGACAGTTTTTTTTCACGAATCATTGATCAGATGATCAAGCATTTCATTAAAAATACTAACTCACTGTTTATCAAATCTTGTTTAATTTCCTGCCAACAGAACTGAGATGTCACTTCATACAATTTATTTTAATTTGAAAACTGATAGCTTGAAGCCTGTGGAGAAATACATGTTAATTTGTAGGTCAAATGTGTCACACATATATGTAGGTAATCTGCTGGTAACCAGGAACAGATTATAGAGAACCATATTAAATATGCCTTGATGTCTATATTTTATTAAGTAATGTACAGGACGAGGCCTAATATATATACCTCTGGTATAGATCATAGGGTCTGTTCCAGAACTTAGCCATTTTGTGGTGAAGCCTAAGGTGTCTAAGCCTAAGGTTGCAACTTGCAGGAAGTCTCTAACCATACATGCTTTTACTGCTAGACAAAAGTTCTAACCATTACCAAGTCAAAGGTAGTACAGTATGTTTAAGGTAAATAAAAGGAAATAAATTGAATTGTGAATAATTGAGCATGCAAACCTTTTTTTCAAGAAAACTTTTACCGGTTAAAAACAAATAAACATTTTAAATAAACAAACAATATTTAAGCCTGACATCAGCATTTCTACAGAGAGTAGTAAATAATCTTAAGATATATAGACAAATTACAGGAAATTTCATTTCTTTTTAAAAGTCGGTCTAGTCAATGAAGGTAAAAGCTGGAAAAAAACATAACTTTGTCAGTTTATTTTTATCTTTGAAAGCTCTTATAATAAATACATTATTAATTAACAAGATTGCACAATCCGCAAAACCAAAGTAATTTGGTTTATACAGAATTTATTTTAATTTGATTGTGTAGGAAGCTATTGGCTTATAAACACACTTATGAATTCGTTCCTGGAACCAACCAGTTCTGAGCAATGAGTGTAAAGTTTCTTGCTCAAGGAAACAACGACTTGCCCTGTTAGGGTTTGAACCCATGTGGCTAGCGATCATTAGATTACTAGTCTGACACATTAACCACTTGGCCATGTTGCCACTTAACCAAAGTAATTTGATTGGTATATACTATTTTCCAGTGGTATTTAAAACCTGACATGGTAATTATTATCAATCTTTCTTTGTATTTAAAACTCAGAATATATGCACATACATGTACCTGTTACTGAAAACTCTTCATTTATGTTATTTTCTTTAATTCATGATCATATCTATTGTCTTTTACCTGTCCCTTCATCTGAAACATCTGTGATCAATTGGTTAAGGTTATTGGCTTCAAACCTCTTCCTCTCACTGAGGTGAGTTCAAATGATACAAGGGACTTTGGATTTTTTTCATTGTGCAGAAGCTATCCAGCTACCTGAGCTAGCTTAAGGATTTTGGTGGTTGTACTCCGATCATGCCTGTTTGTGCCAGAAATAATCATTTATATAATACACTTAGGGGCACCTGAGGTCTTCTCGATCAATAAAGCAGTTTTTTATATCAATTTGTATGTGATTCTTGTATGGCTAGAAGTTTTGGCTTGCAGTACTAGCCTGTATGGCTAGCCACTTCCTACATTGAGATGCACATATTGGTTCATGTGTCTAAACTTTGACATGTATTCAATTGTTTGTATACCAGTAGATGTACCGTCTAATTATGTACACTTTTGGGTCTAAGAAAACAACTTTGTTCCTAACAAATAGTATACAAACTGAAATATATATAACATTTTTTTCTTCTTCAATCCTGGAATATAAACTTATTTTTAAAAACAATGCTAAAAGTTTATAAAGCATGATGACCTTATTTCCTATCCAAAGTATTGAAGCAGCTTTTTGCATTAAAGTCCATTTATTGTATATTGTTGGGCATTTTAAGATTGCATTGTATATATATATATATAACCAGTTGAAACTGCTAGATTATAGTTGTACCTGTGGAAGTCACACTTAATGCTAAAAGATGAAAAAGGGTTTTAGTTGTAGTCCTTTGACATTTGTTGACATTTTGTTTAAATCTCAAAGCATTGGAATGATCTCTTTTCTGTATAGATAAGATTACGTTTAATAACTTTCATGAAAATAGTTCTAATTAGAGTGAGCTTGATGTATTGAATAATTTCAATAAAAGCAATCATGGAGTTATTGAGTACCACCAAGTCATTTCTCTGATAAATACTAAGATAAGATTTAATTAATGATATTGTTCATAATCAAAGTGTTTTATGCTTTGAAATGTTTTCTTTTTTAAAATCTCATTTCTTATTAACTGATTATGGCCACCAGGATGTGTTCACAAGTAAAACTAATTATCTCAGTGTTTTTAGAGACTGTGCTCTGTTTCACTTGCTGGTGTGTGTCATGTAGAGAAGGTGACACTATCTGGTGGAGATCAAGATTGTACTACTGGTACAAATTTCTAAAAATAGAAGTCAGGTCACAAGCCTGCTTCATAGTAAAAAATCAATGCAATTATAACAAATGATATCTATAGATACCTTCTTTCGGGATGCCTTCATTTATAATTTACTAAGAACTGACAATATTAATATTATGTACACACACGCACAAAGTATATCAATATATCTTTAGATTCAATGAACCAAGTTCTTAGATGAAGTTTGTGCTAGTTTTCCATTAATGTATTTTGTAATGAATATATATAATTTCAATAAACAGGACGTAATGATTCAGAATCAGTATCATGTAAAGTAGTAACTGAAGTTAATATATACTGTTTGTTTATATTTAATAAATTGATGAATGATAAAATGCTTACTTTGATGTCAAAGCCCTTTTTAGTTTGTTAAATAAGTCTCAATTGTTAAAAAGATACCAGTAGTGTGATTTTTGACACAGCTGGTCTTTTCAACATATCTTGATTTTATTATTCATTTAAATATTCATTAAAATCTTTGTCTGATGCAAAGTTGTTTTGCTAAATTTAAACAAAATTTTAACTCTGAACAAGAATACGGTATATCAAAAATTGTGCAAAGGTTAGAAAATATAATGTCTATGTACAGTTATTTTCCACTTCAACTATTAAAGTTTTTCAAGTACAGTTTTAATCTTCAAAAGGCATAATCTGAGTAATCTATAATTATAGACGTGTGACTAACACACGAGTGTCTTTAGGAAAACCAAGACGGCTGATCTCTTACCAAGAGGTCAATTGCCATGATCAATATATATATAGAAAGAATATATACAGAATAGCAAACAATGGTAACATGTGTGGATTATGGCTTCTTTCCAGTTGGTGGTATATTATCGGCACATTTGAAATAGTTAAGAGTAGCTTGCAATTTGCCTATTTACTTATTTAGTGCAACTTTTCTATCATTTCCAGTGTATTTGAATAATAATTTATAAGGTATACGAACAACAGTGTTACTTGGTGCTTTTCTGTTCAATGATTTCTTTTCAAACCTTGATTTAAATATAGCTTGCTGGACAGAAAGTGATTACCATGTAGCTTGTATTGAGCCAGGCCAATATATACTTCTATGCAGGCTGACCATGGTCTGTTCTGTTGGTAGTTCACTTTTTGCAATTTGATATTTAAATACTTTGAGTTCAAAGAATATCTCAGGTTGTGAATTCTTGTTCTTTAAAAACTGTTTAAAAGCATCAGACTTTGCTCTGAACTATGATCTGTTGCTATGTCAGACAAATTCAAAAGTCTTTACAACTAGATTGACCGCAATACACTTCAGTCATATGAAGCAAGATGTTAGATAAGGTCAGTATCCTCATAAGGATGTAATACAGAAGTCATTAGGCCTCCAACTTTTAAAGCATATACTAGAACAGTGTTGCTGTCATTAAACCTTTGATGAGAAAAAAAGCAGGTCATAAAAAATAATCAAAAAGGTTGGTTTGGCTTCCTGGACATGACAAAACAAGAAATACGAGTGTGTTTTATGTGACGTACATGACAATTAATGACACTGCAGTAAAAGCCTGTATAAATCCAGCATCATCATCCAGTAACAGCTTCCCCAACAACAGCTTGTCTTGTTATAACATGACATTGAAGGACGCCTACAAAACACAGGTCTGTAGCCTCATCAAACAGGACAAAGTATAGTTTGATGTTAATTAACACTGACAGGTGTTTCCAGCTTAACATCTGACCTAAACACATAGGGATATTATGTCTTACAAACATTTTTTGCTTCAAAAACAAAAGTATATATACTGTAAATCATTATTTTTCCTCGGGCACTAATTTTTGTGGTTTTTGTGTAAACTATGTAGGTCAATCCAGGTATATAAGATCCAACAAAATTATATTTTGGTTGCTGTACAATAACTTTTTTAACATTATTTACATTTTACTTTTTTGCTCAGACAGACTATCCACAAATTTAAGAACCCATGAAAAAGTCATTTTTGACAAAGCCACAAAATTTCATGCACACAAATTTAAGTGAATTCACAGTATGTATATACACTGAGCATATACTGTATGTGGGAATTTACTTGTTGTTAGAAAATCTTATATTTTTTTTTTAAAAGTTGAGTTGAGTAACAGTACTCTGGTGCAATTAATCACAAGCTTTGGTTATATGTCTTAAGGGGAAAAAATGATCAAACAGTTACAGTAAAGCTGAGTGAGTGTAAGGTCTGTACATTTATTTTTGTCTTTTTTTGAGTTCATCCTGTAGGAAACTTTATTAGAATGTATCCTGAAGGAAACTTGGTTTATTAGAATGTATGATCATACATTATCCTGAAGGTATCCTGAAGGAAACCTTGTTTATTAAATTGAGTTTGATGAATTTGACCACCAACTAAGCACAGTTGGGGTCACCCTGAGTGGGCATTAATACTTGGTCTGCTGATGACATTTAACATTATAAACAGAATTTGTACTATCTTATATTTATTAAGACTCGTAAACATTATTTTAATTTAAATAAGATTAAAT